GACGAACTTCAGCATAAAGAGGAAGGATTTCGAAGTATCTGAACCCGTATCTCCCCCCGTCCATCCGTTCCTCGAGATTAGGCTTGGTCTTAAGTTCGAGAAGAGTTACTGATTTCGCTTGGTCGATTTCAGAGCTTCAAGCGAATACTTCCTTGGTGAAGTAGGAGCTCTGTCAATTTTCTGTCAATCGGATTTGATCCGTAGGCGGTCCACGGATATCAACGTCCCCGGCACAGGCAAAGATCCCGCACAAGCAGAAGACCAACAAACGATCTCTCTGCGTTTGTTTGATAAAGTTGTAAACTTTTTATTTTCATTGTGTAAGGAGATCTTATAAAAATATTAACTTTTTATTTTATTCAAGTTTATTGTAATGACCAAAGTTGTAATAGATTCAATGACAATGATAGCAACTTTTGACGAAAATACCATCAATGGATATTATAGAGTAGGAGAGTTCTGGCCAATCCCGTGATGGCCATGCCTAGGTGAGGAGCACCATGCTCTCTCTCTTGAAATTTGGTATATGACCATCGATGTGACTATTCCCATACCCCAAGTGGGTAGTTGACAAGCGTGCTGGTGAGGAGGTCAGGAGAGTCTGGCTCATGCAGGTGAGCTTGACCCATATAGGCAAGCTTCTGGCTGTCAAGCGAGCTTGGCCTTTAGGCGTGCTCGAGCCTAGAGGTGAGCTTCAAGCCTTCAAGCGGATCCGACTCATGGTGGCGAGTCGTCTTCGAGTGGGAGATTAACACCGTCCTTCGAGTCGACAAGAATAGGTGTCGTCCCGAGGTCTTGGAGAGTTGACTTTGGACGGGAGACTGGCACCACCCTTTGAGTCGACGAGGGGGTCTCGGCCACTCGGTTTTGGCGAGTTGATTAGGGGGTCTCCACCACTTGGTCTTCGAAGTGCGGACTGACACCGTCCTTCAAGTCGGCGAGGGGGTCTCCGCCACTTCGAGTCAATGAGAGGGTCTCGGCCCTTCGAGTTGATGTGGGGGTATCAGCCACTTGGTCTTTGAAGTGCCAATTGACACCGCCCTTCGAGTTGATGAGGGGGTCTCGGCCCTTCAACTCGACGAGTGGGTCTCAGCCACTTGGATTCGACGAGGGGGTCTTCGCCCTTCAAGTCGACGAGGGGGTCTTAGCCACTTGGTCTTCGAGGTGTGGACTGACACCACCCTTCGAGTCGACGAGGGGGTCTCCACCACTTCGAGCCGATGAGGGGGTCTCCACCACTTTGAGTCGACGATGGGGTCTCGGCCCTTCGAGTCGATGAGGGGGTCTCGGCCATTTGAGTTGTCTGAGGGCTGGACTCTTCAGGGGTTGGCCATTCGAGTCGTCTAGGGGGCTAGACTCTTTGGGGAGTCAGCCTGAGTCGGGTGGACTCTCAGGGAGTTGTCCTACCTTTCCAGAGATGGACCCTTAATCTCTTTTGCTTGTTCCAAGTTGTTGTGCAGGGATAAAGGTAATTTTTATTGCCTACAAGACCCCTCCAAAGTTTTCAGACCTGAATCAGGTCACATGGGGTCTGGAATACTTTGGATATGAAGACCTACAAAATGATCATCATTCAGACATAGCGAGGCACCTTCCAATTGAACTCAGTGAGATTGAATTATTCAATCGCTGCCAAAGATCTCCAATTAGGATTTTTAGCAAATTCTCAGCTATCAACGGATTTGATTTGTCTTTACCGATTACTGTTTGAATAGGGCTAGCCATACTATTCCCCTCAGTATGATGAGTTGTCGAGAAGTTTTTCATAGGCTTAATGCTATGATTTCTCCTCTTCCCTTGCCGTTTGAGGCGTCGGGTTGGGTTAATTACAACCGTTAATTTGTAATAGAGTTGGGCCGTGTCACTATTTCCTAACTCATCTCCTTTATATTATTTTAGTATTTTATTTTGTGGTGTATTGCATTATCTTATTTTTAATTGCATATTTATTTCCTCATAACCCTATTCACACCCCTCTAGGGTCCAACAATTGGTATCAGAGCAAGGTCTCTATATTTTTTTTTGGTTTAACCACCTCAGAGAAAAGATCCAATGGAGGCTTCTTTGAATGTGTATATCTTGAGGGACAATCTACCACTAGACCCCCACTTTTTACCGGTAGTGTAGGCGTATAAAACTGCTTATAGGTCCCTTAACACAGCTCGGCACGGTGATTCGACAAACCATTTGGATATGTCGCCCGATGGTTCGTTGGTTTGTTGAATCACCGTGCCGAGCTGTGTTAAGGGACCTATAGGCAGTTTTATACGCCTACACTCCAAGGCGGATTTACTGCCAAATCGGGATCCGGACATCCAAATCAGAGTTCAGATCAATGACGAGGCGGATTTACTGCCAAATCAGGATTCAGATCAACAAATCAGAGTCCAAATCAACAGCGAAACCAAGCGGGTTTACTGCCAAATCAGGATTCAGATCAACAAATCAGAGTCCAAATCAACAGCGAAACCGAAAATGTCGAAAACCAACATTTGGAGGACTCGGCCAAAACCGAGCCACCAAGGTGGCCGGCCACCTGTGCCAAGGTATAGATCTGAGTGCCTATAAATAGGGGCTGATGGCTCATTTGTGGGAGGTTGGAACTTTTGAAGCCGAAACTCTGCCGGATTGAGAATTGGACTTGCACTTTTGAAGCTTTGAAGACTCGACTTCCAGATCTGGTTCTTAGCGATCATCCACGCCAAATAAGGCAGGAGTTCGAAAGAGATCAGATCTGAGATCTACACGGTTTCACTCCGGATCAAAACTTGGTTTTTGATCCCAAGAAGGCTATTATTTCCTTGGTGAAATAGTACCCCCGGTTGTTATTTCCTTCGTGAGATAACACCCGTTATATCGTTTAGATCCAATCGGATCAAGATCGCGCGGTGGTCCACGGATTAACCCCGGCGCAGGCGAAGAACCCCCCAAAGCGAGTGACCGCAAAACAGGAGCTCGTGATTCGTTCGACAAACAAGGAATATTGTAACTTTTTCTTTTTGATTTCGTTGTAACCGGATCTTATAAAAAGACCGGATCTTTCTGTAACCGATAAACTGTTACCAAAGAGTATAATGACTTCAATGAAAACAACAATTTTTCCCGCGAATAGGTAGCAACTTTACTTATTAGAAGGCTAGAATGAGGATTTATCTACGATGCATTGACCTTGATATCTTAGACATTATAGAGAAGAAATATGTTGAGAAGCCTAGTAATAGTAGTATGACCGATGTATTGGCCTTCTTGTTTTGATGATGTTTAACAAACAATTTACCACTAATGTTGTTTGTCTAGTATTTGTGTTTTCTTATTTATTATAGACAAATAACGTGTTGGAGGATGGATGGAATAGAGCTTCAACGATGATATCCAATGGAGGTTGGTAGAATAGTGGAGTGAAGCCTTGCAATTCAAAGTTAAAGATCAAGTTCAAGCTTCATCCACGAGATTACCAAGTCAAGCATATTGAAGACCAATCAAGCTTGGGTAAATTAGTTTAGGGCTTATATTATGTGTGTTAATACTTCAAGCTCAATATCACACACATTTGGTTTGGTTTATCGTCGTTTTGAATTATAGACTTAACGGTATTATTTTATATCTTTTATCAAGTTTATAAATATATTAGAAAGTTTTCAAAACTTTGTTTAAACTCATTTTGTCAAGATCAAGCTTTTACAAGTCCATACTTATATGATTTGGCAAAATAATGAGATTCCACAATTGGGAAATGCAAATTGGAAAATTCTTTTTTGTAACATGTTCAAAATCACATTTGCAAACATTTCCCAAAGTTTCATCAAGTTTGAAATTGATTTGTTACGTTTAATTGAATTTACAAAATCATGTTTTTCGTTCGTGCATGTTCGTGTATGTTTTACAAAACAGATTATTTTTTATAAATAGGAAGTGATATTCAAGAAATTCTTTTTTGACATGTTTATCTATATGTTTAGAAACTTCCCTCAAAATTTTACTATTTTTGGAGTTGATTTACTGTGCCCAATTGATTTTACAAAATCGTGTATGTCAGCAGATTTTTAGAAACTGTATATCTATGTTCAAATATTTATTTCTCTCAACTGGGAGATGTTTTTTCAGAAATTATTTCTCTAACATGTCATTATACATGTCTATAACCTTATCACAAAATTTCATAATTTTTGGATCTGATTTACTATTTTTAATTGATTTTATAAAGCTAGATACGCAAATTTCCAGAATGCTAGATTTTGGGGTATTTTGGTCTTTTCAGCCTATAACGGCTAGTAACGGCTAGTTTTTGATATTTTCGGTTTTTGGGGGTTTGTGGCTGGTTTAAGAGGCTATAAAAAGCCCTCAACTTTCATTGTTTCTTATGGATGTTTAAGAGAGTTTTAAAAAGAGTTTTACAAGTTTGTTGAAGGGTTTTTAAGTTTGTTTCAAGAGTTTGTTTGTGAAGAAAATTCCACAAGAGCTTGAGGAGATCATCTATTGAAGTTTGAGCTTCCAACTATTCTCCCTCCACCTCTTGATCTATTGAGAAGTTTTCTAAACTCTTATCTAGCTTTACATTTGCTTAGTTATTTGATTATCTTTCTTTAAAGCTAGTTTTTATATTGAGTTTAGATTTGATTATATTATCTCATTGTTACACACACCCACATGAGCTTATTGTATTTGCATACATAGTATATTAGGGTTGTGAGAGATTGTAACATTGAGTTGTGCGTAATTGAGTTCTCATCCATTGTAGAGAAGTGTTTATATTTCTTGTCGCCATTGTCATTAGCTCATTATTTATATGATCCACTATCTAGTTCATATTGTTTACCCTTGTGTTAGTTTTATATCCTTGCACATACATTGTCTATATCTCTTTGTTAGGATATATCTTATTGTTTATATATCCTTGCATATATTTCTATCATATAGGATATATCTCATTGTTCATATTGCTTATCCTAGCTTATATTCTTGTTGTATTTCATACTTGCTAGGATAACTTATTAATTGATTTTAATTGGCATTTAATCGGATTAGATTAGCATAAGACCCTAATCACCCCCCATTTAGGGTCTAACACGATGGTGAGAGGCTTAAACCAAACCTTAATATAAAGGCCATGAATGCCTTAATTTGTAGACTAACCCCCAATGAATACAATAGGGTTTCCACATGTGCAACCGCATACGAAATTTAGGAAAAATTGTGCATCACTCATGAAGGAACCCCCAAAGTTAAGGAGTCCAAAATTAGTGGCCTCATGCATGATTATGAATTGTTTAAAATGCTTCCAAATGAATCTATTGATGCTATGTTTTCTCAATTTACTAACATCAAAAATGAATTGCATGGCCTTGATAAGGTGTTGACGAACCAAGAGATGAACTACAAAATTCTTCGTTCTTTGACGCCGGTGTGGGAGCCCAAAGCTACGGCTATCGAGGAAGCTCATGATCTTACAACACTTACTCTTGATGGTCTCATCAGTAAGCTCAAGGTCCATGAGAAGAAGATCAAGGAGAAGGAGGAAGTGCCCCCAAAGGCAACAGAGGAACCATCTCAAAAAATAAAAACTATTGCGCTCAAAGGAGCAATTGATGACTCATCCTCCTCGGATAGTAAAGTTGAGGTCTCTAGAGAAGTGGCACACCTCTTTAGAAGGATATCAAGATTAATTAAAATGAATAAATTTTTTAAGAATCGATCTAACAACAAATTTCATTCTCGTATAGGTAAATGCTTCGAATGCAATGAACCGAGACACTTAGCTAAGGATTATCCCAAGCTTAAGGAGAAGTACTTGAAGTACAATAAGAAGAAGGCTATGTACGCCGGATGGGATGAATTCAAACCAAGTGATTCGTATAGCGATGATGAGGGTACCAAGATTGCTCTTCATGACCTAAACATTTGTTTCATGGCTCATGAAGATGATGTATAATCCAAAACCGAAAGTGAATCATTTTTTATGTAATGTGAACTAGAAACCACATTAGAAGAATTAAACATTGAATTTCAAAGAGTGGCAAAAGAATACTCTTCTTTCAAAAAACTACATGTTTCTTGTGATTCTAAGTTTGAGCAACTACAATCTTCTCTTGCTCTAAAAGATGAAATGATAGGAGATCTAGACATTGAAAATAAACAACTAAGGTCTAAAATTGAGAGGCTAGAAATTGAAAATGATAGAATTAAATTTCTAGACTCCTTCCAATGAAATAAGGATCTCGCCTAGCTTTTTGTATTGCGATCAAGTCAGGAACGTACGCAGGATGCCCCCTTCACAGGATTTGATCGCTCTAATACCAACTTGATAAGAGTCATCGTGCGAGCGCCTTTAATCACAGAATTATCAAAGGTGGGTTGAGAAGAAAATAACAAGAACACAAAAACAATTCAGTGGTGGGGAAGGAAAATACCTTCTCTAGATTATAAGAATAAAATAGTTTATAATCTCTCATAATCTCACTAGAATTAAAGAATAATCCCTCTCAATTCTCAAATACAATCTAATCTCTCTTGATTGCTTTCTCCTTTTTAAAAACCCTAAAACAATCCGTTATATAGGTGTAACAATGTGGATGGCAAAGTGGTAAATAACCAAGCCCAAACTCTATAGGAATTCGTACAAACAGAAACCTAAACGAACCAGGAAACCATCGATGAGTCGATTCATAAACATGCATGAGTCGACTCATGCCAAGTGAGTCGACTCATGATGAGGTGAGTCGACTCATGATGAGGTGAGTCAACTCGTCAAAAACTTTTAACAAAATGGCTGGGTTTCGTGAGTCGACTCATGACAGGCATGAGTTGACTCAACCTGATGAGTCAACTCATGTACATATATGAGTCGACTTACGGGCTGAAAACTGGATGCTTCGATTCTTCAATTCGCCGTCTCGTTCTACGCTTCAACCTGTATTCCACTGTGTTGTTTTACCCCTCTATTCTCAAGTTACCATGAGAATCATCTATCCTCAAGCTCCCATCCCCTCTATTCTCAAGTTACCATGAGAATCATCTATCCTCAAGCTCCCATGAGGATCGCTAAGTTCCGAAAAGAAGATACACCCGTATCACATGAGAATCATCTATCCTCAAGCTCCCATGAGGATCGCTAAGTTCCGAAAAGAAGATACACCCGTATCAGCTGATATCTCACTTTGTTGATATTTTACTTTCGGTTCTTGTTTTCTTTGTGAAACATGGATTTAGTTGATATCTACTCTCTAGTCGAGCACCAGAGGTGCTGCCGAAATTTTCGCTGCGCACAACAGAGTGCTCGTTGTCCACTGCACGTACTCAACGGTTCCCTCGTTGCTGCTGCCGCCTCTTCTTGACCCTCGACTCTGTGCTTCTTCTGGTGACCTCCGAGTGCCCGCTACTGAGTTTTTCGCCACAACGTTTGTGGCTGTATGTTGGCAGTTGGTTTTCGATGTTTCTGAGTGCTTCTATTGGATTTTTGTGAAAGTACCCTAGAGGGGGATGAATAGGGTTTATGCTAATCTAATCCGATTTAATGCTAATTAAAAACTTTATTAACAAATATATCCTAGCAAATGAGATATGAACAATATATGTGCAAGGATATAAAAATAACACAAAGGTAAACAATCTAAACTAGATAGTGAGCAATATAAACAACAAGCAATATATAAAGGCGATACAAGATATAAACATAAAAATAAGTGCGCCAATACAATCACAAACAAACGACATGTTTACGGTGTTCGGTCCCCACGACCTATGTCTCCGCTCCTCTCCACGAGGAGATCTCCACTATCATGACACACCCGGTTTGGAAGCTGGAACTTCTCTACACACTCGATTTTTTAGTTTACCGAAAACTTTACAATCTCACACTCTTGCAATCATAATTTACACCCTCTAAGTGTTGGTCTCTAGTCTGTGTCTCCCTCAAGTGTTAGGAATTACAACCTACCTTTAGACATTACCACCTACCCCACTCCTCTTGGGATAACCCCGTCTCTCACCACACACTCCTCTCAGTGTATAAATATATTACAAAGTGTATCTCACAATGAAGGCACAAATACAATGTTTGTTCTCTAATACAAGATGAGATCTAAGTGTAAGCTCACTCTCAATGTCACAATCCCACAACCCCAAATTATACTATGTATGAAATACTATAAGCTTAATAGGTTGTGTGTGAACAATGAGATAAATCACAACTAAACTCAATGTAATTCTAGCTAATAGAAATTATAATCAAAACAAAAAGATAGTTAGAAAAGAGTTTAGAAAACTTCTCTAATAGATGACAAGAGAGAGAGGGAGATGAATTGAAGCTTAAACACCAAAGATTATCTCCTCAAGCCCTTATGAAAATATCTTCACAAAACAAACTCTTAAACACACTTATAAACTCTTAAACAAACTTGTAAAACTCTTTAAAACTTTTCTCTTGGTGGTTCTCAGAAATTAGAGGGCAAGGGGTATATATAGGATCATAAGACAAAGCCTAAAAACCCAAGAAAACCAAGCAAAAAGATAAAATAACAGAAATACAAAAAATTGAAAAAACTAGCCGTTATGATGTCATCGGTCGATTGATACTATTCATCAATCGACTGATGACCTCATCAGTCGATTGGTCAGTCGACCAGAAGAAAAACAGACAGTTTCAGAGTTCTGGAATTTTGCATATATAGCTTTGCAAAATTAATTAAAAATAATAAATCAAATCCAAAAATCATAAGTTTTTTAGGAAATAATCTAGACATGTTTATAAACATGTGAGAGAAAGAATTTATGAAATATCACTTCCCAGTTGAGAGAAATAATTATTTGAACATAGATATTCCAGATTCTAAAAACTGCTGAAGCACCTGATTTTGTAAAATCAATTTGACATAGTAAAACAACTCCAAAAATCATGAAATTTTGATGGATGTTTCTAAACATATATATGTACATTCTAGAGAAAGAATTTTGTAAATATAACTTCCTATTTGAGAGAAATAATTTATTTTGTAAACTAGTTAAAAACTAAAAATCTAGAAATTGTACAAAACTAGACATCAGTCGACACATCAATCGACCAAAACAAAACAGAGAGAAAATAAAGATTGCAGGTACTTTTATCAATCGACTGGCTAGTCGACTGGATTAATCAGTTGACTTACCAGTCGACTAATAACCAATATCCATCCTGATTTAAACAGTAAAACTAAACTTTGGAAAATATTTATAAACATGTTAATGAACATGTTACAAATTTTTTTTTTTAGAATTGTACTTCATATTTGTAAAATACCATCGTTTTATAAAATAGTCTAAAACATGAAAATACAACAACACTTGTTTTTTTTTGTCATTTTGACTAAACCATGTTTTAAAACTTTATAAAGTGATTTTATAGACTTAATAAAGTATGTATAAACTGATATTGAAGTCTATAAATAAATAAAACAATATTTTTATAAAAACACCAATTTTTTGATAAAATCAACAAAATCAACAAATACGTGTGTGTGATTAATATATGAGCTTAAAGCATCTACACACAAGTATAAACCTAAAACTAAATTACCCAAGATTGATAGATCTTCATTGAAGCTCTTCTTGGTAAACTTACGCCTCGTTTGGTACGCGGAAATGGAGTCAAGTGAGAATAGAAAGAAGGTAGGAATGGAATGGAATAGATGTGGGAATGGAATGCACATTCTCATTCTCATGTTTGGACGCGTTTAAATAATGAAACGGGAATGACAATCTTATTCTTATTCTCATGTTTGGTATCATTTGTTCACAAGTGAGAATAAAATTTAGTTTTCTAATAATGCCCTTACCAAAACACAAAATTTAAAAAAAATTAAAATATTTTAAAAATGACTAAATAATTTATTTTTTTAGAAAAATAAGTTTTATAGAAATGATATTTTTTTCTTAGAGAAATAAATTTGCATGTAATAGTTATATTTTGGCACACCGTTTCGGCAACAATTTCGGACTTTTGGCTTTCAAATTAAAAAATAATTTTTATAGAAATTATTTTTAATTATAAATAATTATAAATTTACTTTTCTAACTTCTAGTGCTACATGTCTATTATTTGTACGAGCAGCTAATGTTACTAACTTCATTGTGCGTTAGTGAAGAGAAGACCTTATAAGAGATATTTTATATAATTGGGCACTCTTCACAACATCTCCTGATAATTTTTTTTGAGATTTCATGTTCGGGGGGAAAATAAAGGGAAAATAGTGCAATTTATCATCCATGTCAAAATTAATATAAACGATAGTATCTATAGTTTAAAATTTTATATGCATAAACTATCAATTTCGATAAATTATTAGAAATATCCAAATTCTAATCAAAATATCCATAAAATAGTACGAGCAAAATAATTGGACAGCCATCAAAGTATCAAAATATTAGTTTTGAAATTGCAAAATGATAAACTAGTTTCACTCCAAAGTATATTGAGTTTATTAAAAGATATTGGAACTAAGGCAAGGTCCGCGTTAATATACTTCTTACGAACGAATGAACAATATCAGATATTTATTAAAAAATAATATCACCATATATTGGAACTATGGTAAGGTCACTGATATAAATTTACTTAGGAACGATGTTTGTATATTGGAACTTGGGCAAGTTATATTCATGCTTATATTTATTTATATATTTGTACTAGTAGCTTAAGATAAGTTATTTTTTTATAAAAATATTTTTTATATGAGAATTTATATCTATTTGTATCTTTTAAGGAGGGTATAATTAGAATTTATTTGATTATTTTTACTCACACTTAAGTGGGAGTATCAATTTCATGTTAAATGGTTGGGAATGACAATTCCCACATAAAGTGAGAATTGATAAGAAGTGGGAATTTCAATTCTAACATCTAAAAATACTTCGTGTTTGGTACGCGGGAAAAAAGAGTTGGAATTGCATTCCATTCTCACTCATTCCCGCA